GGCGGCCCGTGGGCACGGCCGGTGAGAGGCGGGACGGGCCCCGCGCTGTCCCCCAAGGCTGGGGAGGTGGAGGTGGTGGCGGGGGGAGCGTTCGGACGCGTGGGTTTCCCGAGCGGGGAGTGGTTCCGGCCTGGAGCCGCGTTCCTGCTCCTGCCGGCCTCTCCCGGCCTCGTTGCTTGCTCTGTGTAAACCGGGCTCTCTCCGCTCCCAGCTGCGCTCTGCAGGCGGGCAGCCCCGCTGGGGCCGATGCCCAATGAGGATATTGACGTCAGCAACTTGGAAGCGCTGGAAAAATACCGCAGTTTCACTCGCTACTTCAAGCTGGCAGAAAAGGAGAGCAAGAAACCCCGCTGGTGGAAAACCTACCGGCAGCACACCCACCCCCCGCCAGGTACCCGCGGGACGGGCAGTGCTGCGTGGGGATTTGCTGCTGAGGGTCGGGGAAACTGCTGTTGGGGTCACAGGTCTGCCCCAAAACCTGCTCTGCCTTTGAGGTGCTTTGGCACCAGGTCGGGCCTTTTCCAGGGGAGACGTTTGCAGAGCAGAGATGTCTTCAGAGGAAGTGGACGGTGGTTTTCTGGAAGAAGGGAGGCTGGGCAGGACCTGTAAAAGACACAGAGCAAAAGTGGTTTCTTGGAGCTTCAGTAGTATCAGAGGAAGCAGAGCAGGAGCTGGAGCTTTAGACCCACAGCAGAGAATTACTCCAGTTTGAGTGCTGAGCAGAGAGCAGAGCTGCTCACCAGCTGGCAGACCTGGGGGGCTGGGCTGTGATGAGCTGGGGGAGGAGCAGGGAGCCACAGAGGGAAGGCAGGGGAGGTAGAACCGACTCCCTGATGCCTCCAGGTTTGTGTTTCTTTCCCGGTGCAGGGGTTTGTGGTTGGGTCCTGTGGGTATTCCCTTGTTTTCACATACACAACATCTTCACTCCCCCCTGAAGAGCCCAAGACTGACATCAGCCTGCCCCGCCACAGGCTGCTGCGGGCCAAGGAGCTGAAGGAAAGAAAACAGATCCTGAAGGAAAACCGCCGGAATGCTGAGATGGAAAGGGCAGCACGACTGCGGACAGGTTGGTGTCCCAGCACCTCCCTCCCTGCCCTGCTGCTCCAGGTCTCCACCTGCAGCATCTCCCTGTCCTTGCAGTGCTGATCCCCCTGGAGGAAGTCAGAGCTGAGTGGGAGAAGAGCAGCGGCCCCTTCCACAAGCAGCGCGTGGCCGAGCACTGCGGGGTGTTCCGAGACTTGTTCAAGGGGGCCACCTTCACCCCCTGGGTCACCCTGAGGGTGCAGTACAGCCAGGAGGATGAGCACCTCGTGCCAGTCTACTATGGGAACATCCTGACTCCATCAGAGGTGTGTGAGGGGGGCTGGGAGCAGCCTCCACCCCCTGGGAAGCCTGTGTGTTGCTGTCAGATGCTTCTCTCAGACGTGGTCCCTTCTGGGGGGTTCCTTTCACGAGGGTGTTTCCTCTGTGATGAAGGGAAAGTGTTTCTTGGATGTGAGAAGGACAGAACTTTGTAGCAGGGTTGTTGGCTGTTGACAGCCTGGTTTTTATTGACACACTCCAGAGGACTCTGAAGGTGGAGCTGGGTTATGGTAGCCTGGCTGTGCCCAGTCTGTGTTGTATCCTGGCTGTGCCCCTGACAAGTTTCCTGCTCTTTGCCTTGGAAAACATGACCTGGTTATAATGGAACCTGTTTGGGTGATTTTCTTTCTCTTTGCATTGCTCATTTAGGCTTCCAGGCCCCCTGCAGTGTCATACGAGGCAGATAAAGGCTCTCTCTGGACTTTGTTGCTCACAAATCCAGGTGAGTAGCAAGTTCTTGAAAAACAAGGCATTTAAATGGGGTGTTTCACTCTGGTGAGTTCTCCTGTTTCCTTAGTACCTTCTAAGCAGGGATGTGTTACATGTGCAGGAAAGATTGTAACCTCCCCAGATACTGAGCAGGTGAGAGGGAGGGCAGTGACATGGCAGGATTCATGGCACAGTGTAAGAGGAAGCAATTCTCTGACTCCCATCTGTTCTTCACCCCCAAATTCCTCTCTCCCTCAGCAATATGCCAGGGACAGAGGTTAGCTGATGCCATTCACCCTGAGAAACCAGGGCACAGTGAAGTGCAGCTGACCAAGAAGTCCTTTCAATCTTGGAAGGACACCCGTAGAGTTCTTCCCTGCTGGGTTTGAGCTCAATCCTATAAGGGCGAGTTAGTTTCCTGCTGGGAATGCTGAGAAGTCTCCGTTCACAGGGGCTTTGGGTGTTCTCACTTTGAGGTTGATTCAAAGGCCAGGGTGTCACTGAGTCACCTTTGTCTGTCTTGTGTGTTTGCAGATGGACATTTAAGAGAGACAGACTCAGAGTACCTCCACTGGCTGGTGTGAGTATCGCAGCGTGGGCTGAGAAACCCCTCCCACCTGCTCCCTCGGGAATGATCACTGGGACAGTGACACAGGAGTTCAAGGTGTTTCTCCTTGTTGGCATTCACGTCACTGGGTGGGATTTTTCTTCCAGTAGAAACAACCTTTCCTTGTCAAACGGGGTACAAGTCACATCAAAACGTAGCACAGAGTGATTTGCAGTCCTGGCTGAGTCTGCTGGTCCCGGTGGAGGGAAGTGAATGGATATAAAGCCAAATAAACTTCTCTGTGTGCAGGACAAACATCCCAGGCAATGACATCAGGTCGGGTAAGGAGATCTGCCACTACCTACCCCCCTTCCCTGCCATGGGCACTGGCTACCATCGCTTCATCTTCCTCCTCTTCAAGCAAGATTGTCCCATTGATTTCAGTGAGGATGTTCGGCCCGTGCCCTGGTAAGTCAGGCTCTCACTGGGCAGTGAATCATAGAATCATGGAATGGTTTGGGTTGGAAGGACCTTAAAGATCATGTAGTTCCAACCTCCCTGCACAGGCAAAGACACCTCCCACTAGAGCAGGTTGCTCCAAGCCCCAGTTTCATGCTCTTGTTGCTTGTTATGATGATGTGTTTGTTACTGCTGCAGGAGAGTGGCTCCTTTTAAGCTGCAGGGTTGTTCAGTTAAGTTTGTGTGTCACCTGAAGCCACAACCCCAGCCCCACAGTCACTGCAGAGCCCTCTTGCTTTAAACCAGGCTGTTAAGGACCTGGTTTTTCCCGCCTGGGGCAGAAACATTCACAGAGCTGGAGTAGCTGGGAGGTTTCCTTCTGGTGACTTGCTTTTCCACCTCTGTTTTGTAGACTCTGGGGTGGTGTGTGAGGCAGTAGCTGCCTACCAGAGTGCTGCAGGAAAGGAGGCTCACCTCAGCACTCCTATCTCCTTCCCAGCTACAGCCTCAAGATGAGAACCTTCAGCACGTTTGACTTCTACAGGAAGCACGAGGACGCCATGACCCCGGCAGGGCTGGCGTTTTTCCAGTGTCAGTGGGACAGCTCTGTCACCTGGGTCTTCCATCAGCTTCTCAGTAAGCCAAGCAGCACAGGGGGATGCTGGAGGGGGCCTGTTTGAGGGCTGGGATGTGACCCTGTGGGTCAGTGGTTGAGCTGTGGGCTTGGTCCTGGTGCTGAGGATCTGTTTGAGCACAGATGGGTACTTACTGAGCCTTCCCCCACCAAAGCAGCAGCCGTCTGGGGAAACTACCTGTGACAGGCTGTTTGGTATGACTGTTTTAAAATAACACCAGGAGAGCCTTCACCAGGCTGTGCTTGACCAGCCCTGGTCCCATCTGCACCTGGGGGCCCGTGCTGGTGGGAGGGAGGGCAGGGGGTTTGGGCCTGTGGTGCTGATGTTCTGCTTCCCCCCCAGACATGAGAGAGCCCGTGTTTGAGTTTGTGCGGCCACCCGTTTATCACCCTCGGCAGCTGAAGTTCCCACGTCACCAGCCTCTGAGGTACCTGGACAGGTACCGGGACACCCAGGAGCCCACCTATGGCATTTACTAGGGGCAGCTGGGGCTGCTGAGTTTCTGCACCCACACAGCTGGGAACTGGCTGCACCGCTGGAGGGAGACAACCAAGTCTCAGCCCCTCGGATCCCAGTTCCCTTGGGAACAGCGTGCAGCTGCTCACACAGCTGCTCTCACAGCTGCAGGCTCTGCCAACGCCTGTTGTCCCCAGCTGCGTGGTCACAAGGCTACCTGAAGAGGACGTTGATAGATGGAAGGAAATCCAGGCTGAAATCTTGCTACTGATTCCATAGCAGAGCTGATCAGTAAGGGGGGAGTTCCCCAAGAGTGCCCTGATGTGCTTCTTGCAAAGGAATCATGTTCTTGCAAAGTATCACAGTCTTTCAGAGGATCACATTCTTTCTTTTGGCCTATTTACAGAGCAAACAGAGCCAGGCCAGCCTGGACTTCCCCCCCTTACAGCTCTGTGGTTCAGGACTGTGTCAGCTTTTGTTTGTGCAGTCTCTTAAAGGGATGGATCCGATTAAACACACTCTGAGTGGTGCTGGCAGAGCTGCCTTATCTTTATTGGGAAGAGCTTGGTATCCCAGCCAGCTGGCACAGAGCTGGGGAGCTCAGCAGGATGCAGGGGAGAGCAGCCCTTCCCCTGCCTGAGGTCTCTTTCCCCTCTTAGATGTAGGACAGGAAGGGTGTGGATGCACACTGTGGTAAACCTGTTCGGGGTCAGTGCAGTGGAACTGGCTTCTCCCAGCAGCTCCATGAGAACATGGACCTCAGTCTCCTTCCCTGCTCAGCACATACCTGGTATGGCTAGATGGGACAAAAGCAGATCTGCAGAGCTGCTGGGGTTGGGGCAGAGGCACAGTGGTGGCCTGGTACTCTGCTCTCCTGAACCCAGGTTGTGGAGAGGCTCTGCAGGGCTCTGCATCCCCCTGTTCACGTGCTTAAACCCCCAAACACCACCATGCTCCTGCTGTTGCAGCTGCCTGTTCCCAGCTCCAATTCCCAGTAACTTTCTGAGGTTCTCCCTTCCTCAGGAAGCAAGAGCCTCTAGCAAACAACTGAGACTGTGCCTCAGGGCCATTTCCAGCTATGCCTGAGCTCCCTGAACTCTGCTCTGGCCCCAGAGGGATTTGGGGTCTGGTTTAAGCTGGGGTGACAGCCAGTGATGTGACCACAGTGGGAGCACAGGTGTCCTGTGGTTTCAGGCAGACACATGGGTCATGTTACACCCCCCTGAGCTTTAAAGGTTTGACCAGAATTTGTAGATTTCAGCCCAAATAAATGTTTTGGGAGCTGATTTGCTGGGACACAGCACGGGGACACAGGGAGTTGTGGCAGATCCCAAGTCACATCCTGGACCCGGGGGTGGTCTGGGGGGTGGCTCTCAGCCTGCCATGGTACAGAAACTGCTCTGACCCCCCAGCAGCCCTTTGGTGAGTGCCCTGGCTGTGGCACAGACCCCCTCCCCACTCATCCTTGCCTGCATGGGTGAAAGCAAAGCCACTGGTGTGGGGAGGAACTGCTGGAACCCAAGGAGCAGCACATCTGCCAGGGTAAGGAGCTATGGTTTGGGCTGGAAGCTTGGGAGCTTTTCTCCTGGAATGGAGCTGTATCAAGCAAGGTGAAGGTACTTGGTGCCTGGGCACTGGAGTCACCCCTGGGCAGGTGACTCCACGGGCCACCTAAATGGGGCTGGTTGCCCAGATCACATCCTGTGCTCTGGAGTACCCATGTGCAGGGGTGTTGCAAGGAGCTTTGTAGGAAAAGGAGTGGTGGGTGTGCATGGGGGCACGTGCCAACAGCAGGAGCTGTATTTTAAGATGAAAAAAGATGCAAGGGTGGGATGTGCTGCTGGCATGTGTCACAGCCCTTGTCACTGCAGAGGGAGGTGACAAGTGGGTGCTGCAGCAGTGGGGTGTCCCTCTCTGCTGGTACCCAGGCTGGCAGATGCCATGAGAACCATACTGAGGTCTCTCCTCTATGGGTGATTATCATGTTCTGCTTGGGGACCCAGCAGAGGGAAGGATGCCAGGAGGAGGGAAATCAAATTGCACATCGTACGTGTAGCTGTGCAAACACATGGAAATGCACATTGCTCTGCACCGTGTCAGCCTCCTGCATGTGCCTCCCTGTGCAGTCTGTGCACTGCTTATCCTCTCCTGGGCCTCCTGCTGTGCTTTGCTGCCCTCCCTGTCCCGGGGGGAGCAGCTCTAACCCTCCCCATCACCTCTCCAGTGCGTGGCAGGGCTGCGGGTGCACCCTCTGGGGTAGCTCTTTAACAACACGCCTGGCCCGGAGCCCTGACC